TAAATGTTTCTTTTCATTTAAGGGGGATATAATATAGAGATGAATACTTTCTATTGGTATAGACGTTGGCCTATTGATACAAATTTAAGGTCAATTTTGTTGCACTGAATATAAGAACATTTCTATTCTTGTTTAAGGTATTATATTTATACATTCATTTAAAAATTTAATGTATAATTAAAAATTACAGAGTAATAGTCATTTATAAATGTCAAACTTGTTAGTCATATTAATTAGTTTTATAGATATACAGAGATGTGTTTCAGCTGGATAATCTTCAACACTTCAAAGACCTACAGAATATGGCATTTAAGATATTTTAAGTACTTAGATTTTTCTTGACAGTGAGACATGTCTGTTCCTGGCAGCACCAATTATTTCAGAGAGGTTGATGTGCATCAAAGAAACTCCTTATGGAATTTGCCTTTAATGAGATAAGGTTAGCCATTTGGGCAAGAAACTGCTCTTTCCTGGACTGCTTGATGGTATGCTGTATAAATTGAACTTGCAGGACCCACAGGAAAATGACTCCTGAACTTGCCTAAAAAAGGTGAGACAGTCCTTCAGTGTTCCTGATTCATGAAATAGTCTACTGAACATTCTGCTGGACACAGAAGAAGCTGAGTGACAAACTGCCAATATAGATGAAATGGTCTTTCAAATTTCCTGATTTACTGAAAAGTCTACTAAATATTATGGACCTATAGGCTGAATATGAATGCCCCATATTAAAAAAGAATTTTGGGTGACTGTCCTGGCAGTGAGATGTCTCTATAAATTCTATAGTTTTGGAAGTTGCTTACAATACATTTCCTATTTTCTTGGGTAATGTTATATCCTTATGGGGTCTTTAATGGGGTTGAAGACAGATAGTTTAGTTATACTTTTCCTTAGTTATGATAAAAGATAAATTATATATAAGACTTTAGACTCACAAAGATAGAGTAGATGATAGAATATTTTCCTAAATTTGTCAAATGTAAATGGACTAGAATTTTTGCTTGATCATTGTTTTGTATATATAATTTTGCTATATTGAAGTTAAAATCTTCCTTTTTAATTAGACAGAAATGGGGAGATGATGTAGGATGTCCTTCAGTATATGTGTTACTTTTATTGGTTGATGAATAAAGTTGTTTCATTCAATGGATTAACAGTGTAAAGCCATGCAGGAAATTTAAACAGATATATATATATATATACACATATATATATATATGTATATATATGTATATATATATATATATATATATATATAGAGAGAGGGAGAGAGAGAGAGAGAGAGAGAGAGAGAGAGAAGGCAGAGTCTAAGAGACACCTTGTAGCTGACAAAAGAGAAAAATGCTGGAAACTTACTGGTAAGCCACAGCCTCATGATTAATAGAAATGGATTAATTTAAGATGTAAGACCTAGCTAGAAATATACCTGAGCCATCAGCCACCCTTGTAATTAATATAGTTTTTGTGTGATTATTCAGTTCTGGGAGCTAGGAAATAAAATAGCAGTCTCCTCTTATAAAGAGTGAACTGAATGAAAAATATAAGAGGGTGGAAGTACAATAAATTATCTTAGCTGGCCATTTTTTAAATGGTGTTGATAAACTGAATTTAAACTCTAGAACCTATATAAAGTGTGAGGAAGAGAACTGACTGACACCCAGAATCTTTCCTCTGACCTTCATGCACATAACATACCACATGCACCCACACACTGACCAAACATACACATGCATTCACATATTCACATGTACACAACAATAATAATAGTAATAAAATAATTTATAAACAGAAGTATACTACAGAGATGGACAATTCTCTCCCCAGAGGGCACAGGTTATTAAATTAAAATCTCAGTACCAAACCCAGAATACTTCTCTATGAATGCCCCAGAGGCATTCAAAATAATGTAGAATAGTGATATTCCTCTTAGTTTTCCACCATACCACATGGTCAGACCCTATTGCCAATGATGCTACTCACTTTGGATGCAGGACATAGAGAAGCCATCCTCAAAATAAACACGGGAAATGCACTACTATCAAGTTTACATTGTGCTAGAAGATACAGCACAAGCTGACTGGGGAAGAAAGTCAGCAGTAAATTTATCCTTCACTGCTACAATACTGGCCTTCTTGGTCCCACGTGCCTTCTGACTAGTGCAATTGTGGTATGAAAATTATAGGGATAATTGGCTGCTTTCTGATTGAATACAGACTGAACAACTACTGGATCCTTGTCCTTTTCCTATTGTAAAATCGATTGCTATTGTTTTTGCTAAATGGCCATGTTGTTCAAACTGCCTTCTAAATATTTAGGTTTTTGCCCAGTGATTTATGTTGAGTTTAGCGTATGTTACCAAAAGTCCTTATTCAATAGTAGATGCCTAATTCAGAAACCCATAACTGGTAAAAAAAAAAAAAGTCCCAAATATAAGTATCTTAGAGTATTCAACTGTGAATGCACTATCTACAACAGCTTCAACAATAAAATGGAAGATTAAGCAGACAGAATAGAAAGCTATGAAATGCTGACTTCTGGGCATGCCATTACTAATGAACACATCTCCACCCAGTATTTGTGGTTTGCTACACAAGAACAAAACAGTCAAAGTTTAGCATATACGGTGATGGCTCCCTGATTCCTAGTACCTAGCAAAGGACCACTGACAAATAGTGGCTACTGAGGGACAAAGCATCACTGTTCTTGGGTATTTGACCACCAGTAGATTTCTCATACCACACTGAAAGGCCCCAAGCTCTTGTGCATATGAACAGTGGCAATTGGACTCAGAGTTTATTAATAACTTTTAAAAATAGGGTGTGAGCTTGACAGCAAGATGTTGTGGAAGCATTAGAGTTGGTTGGAGAGTTGTGGTTGATGAATATAATCAAAATATGTTGTATAAATATATGCAATCTCAAAGAATAACACTTTTTAAATAAAATGCATGAAAAGTATTATTTTTATGTTTCCCATGAATTTGTAATTATAAACATTATATAGATTTTCAACTGGATAATCTCATGTGAAGTCATCTAATTAAGTGACAAAAATTATTTTGAACTCACAACAAAATACTGTCTAACACTCATATGGACATTATTTACCTTGGATTCTAGTTTCACTAGAGAGCCATTTGCCTCTGCCTCCCTGGATTCAGTGATTCGGGATGTAAAACTGCACCTGAGCTACACAGTGAGACCATCTTAATGAGCAGAAATATTGTAACAGTCAGAGGTCCTTGTTTTCAGATTCAATACGGAAATGCATTCATTCCTTCTCATTTGTATGGTTGCCTGAACAAGACCACATAGGGATGACACCAATACCAGTTGGCATGTTAGTGAGGCCAGGGAAAATCCCACATGGTCCCAATCTTAAGTGAAAAGATACAAGATGTCAATGGCTGCTGAGAAAGGGAAATGAATGGTTTATAAGTCTTTAAGCATCTCTTACTAAAAGAGGCAAACCATGTCTTGAAAAATCCAAAAAAAAGAGGCAAATCACACAAGGAAAAATACATAAAAATATGTATATAAATTGGGACATAATTAAAATCTCAAAAAATATGCTAAACTCTTGATTGTGGAAGAGAGGAAAAAACTGGCAATTCTAAAAGCCCACTTTTGCAGCTTGCTTATTTAAAAAGGCACAGTTTAAACAGTGTGATAGAAAATCTGTATGCATTGTGACCATCTATGAGGAAAAAATGTTAAACCTAAGACACTAGATATGAAACAAACAATAACTGGCAAGATGTGAACAAAAGTAGATAGCCTTGTTTACATGAAACAACAAAGCACAACAGCTGATTTCACTAATGTGGTGCCAACCCATTGAGCACCACATGAAAAAAAACTTCTATGTTGTTTAAACATAATCAGAAACGCTGATGCCAGAGTATAAAGGAAGTAGAAAGGAGTGTCAATGGAAAAGTGATTTCATATAATTATATACTCTCAAAAATCCAAATCAAATTTAAATGCCTATAGCTCAGCATTAAATAAAAAATTAAAATGAGTATGCTCACAATGAAATAAAAGGATTTCTCACTGTTGAAAAAGAAATAGTGTACAGTAATTAATAATTCAAATAATAATAGTATAAGCACTTGGGCAAAAAAGCAGCAATTACATTTTTCACCTGGGTTTGATTCAAATCCTTTAGCAAAATAAAAGCAGTGGAGGAAGACTTTTCCAACAGAACACACCAATTATCTCAAAATTAAAAGTTGTAATCTTCCATTGATACTTACAACTATTCACATTAAAAATAACTTACCTTTTGGGACTAAGACCTGATACCAAACTTAGTAAGTCCTGCTTAGCAAGACAAACTATAAACTAATAAATTCTATTTGCTCATATAGGCAATAACACTTCTGTCATTATTTATATCTTGTTGAGGCAAACAGGTCACTTAGAAAACAGTTGGTTATCAGGAAGCACATTAAGAACCTCACCACATCCTCATCCATCTTACAGTATTGCATGCTGAACTGTGCCCATTCATAACCATGTCTGTACTCTAAACCACAGAAACCCAGATCCAAAGGTTCACCTTTCAACCATGACTAAACCCTGTTAAGGTGATGTTTTCCCTTGCTGCAGTAAGTTTAATAAACTCAACATTGCTGGATCATAGCTCTTTCAGGTGGTCTTTTGGAAACATTGACCAGCAGCAATGTGCTATCCAACCTAAGGGGTTCTCTTAGATATCATTTAAATCAAGTGTGGGTAATATTTCCACAATTTTAAGTGCTCTGAAAGTACCAGTTTGTGGACTTTTATCAGAATAATCAAAATCAGTATCAGTTGGCAACAGGAAAACTAGTATTTGCAAAGAATTTTGGGTCCATTCCGAAAATAATGCATACTAACATGGCCACTTAACCTCCTCAAACCAAAAAAAAATCTAAAATTAAAAACAAAAAACCAAAATTTTCAGATACATAAAAATGAACGAGTAAATAAAAGAAAAACCCAACATCACGGTGAAAATATCAACAGTAATCAGATGTTTAATAAAAGAGACATTTCTTGTCCTTCATTACGAAGACAGTATTATTTAAAAACAGTTTCCCCAAATTAATTTATTAAAGTTGATGAAATTGCAGTCTAAACTGTAATTTCTTCCAACACAAAGACATGTGAGACAGGAGGCAGAAGAGACACACATCCACAGAACAAAAATGGAGCCATTCACAGATGACAATACAGCACAGGTGCAAGATGGCTTACAGATAAATGGGCACTTATTGGCAAATAATCATAAGTAATGGCAAATAACTTGGCAGCTTTAAGATTTCAAAACAAAACTCTTTTCATGACATAAGAATTTGACATAAAAAACACAAAAGAACTACGATTAACAAAGGAGTGGGGCTTTTTATGAGCTTACGATATTTTTGTTTTTCAAAAATGACATGAAACTCAGAAGCCATAAAAGCAAACATGGTTATAGTTGGACATGTAACAACAATACACATTCTTATAACAAAACGAAGTTCAAATGTGAGAAAAACATGTAATGTTTGACAATCCAAATCTTATTTTTCTCCAAGTGTAAATATGATCTTTAAAAGAGACTGAAATCTCCACATACTCTCAAACTTTGACATAGAGAAGAAATGAAAAATACAGATGGCTAATAAACATGAAAATGATCAAACTCAAAAATAAAATAAATACAATTTAAGACAATTGTTTGGACTAACACATTGGGAAATATCTCAAATATTTGTAGAACCCATTATATGTGGATTATGAAGATGGTAGTCTAAGTCATTGCCATTGAAGAGAAGGCTACTAAAGCTCATTTAAAAGGAATTATGATTATTTAAATTTTTTAAGTGTTATAATACTTCATTCTAATAATTTAAGTGCTAGGTAATTTTATTATAATAGAAGGGACAAATACATAATTGTTGAATATATATTTATATATATGTATATGGAAGTTCATTTCACAGAAATCTAGCACCTACATAAATGCCTATAAATGAGCAATCTTTAAAACATTTAATTCTATTTCATCTACAAATTAGTTATGCAGTTATTCAAAAAATGATGTAGATATTAATATAGTACTGAAATAGAAAAAGCTCATCAAACAAAAGTAACAATTTGTGTAAGAGTATGGGCTGACTGGTAGAAGTCCCCCCCCCAGAAAGCATGTGTATGTTTCATATATTTGTCTGCTTAAGAGCATTCATATCCATTCCTTAATAGGGGAAAACTGTAGAAAACTTTTGACTATTTTGAAAGAGAGGAGGTCCGTAATTTATGTATTAATCATATAAGTATACTTTGAGATTTTTTTAAATCATGCAATTCCTTTCTAATATGTCATATTTTAAAAATTAGCAGTGTATATTTATAGGAGCACTGAATGTTTCCACTATTTTGAGCTTGTTGTGCAATATTATTTCCTCTACTGAGGCTCCTGGGATTGAGTCAAGTGGCAGCAAGGGAAACAGTCACCACGCACAAATTAAAGTTTCATCGATGATATCCCAACATGAGCATTTCTCAGTTAAGCATTTCTTATCTGCAGATGGTGTCTGCTGCTACACAGGAAAGAGACATCAGCAGGTATAATGATGACTGTCTTGAGGAATCTGCTGGTGGAAGAGATGGCACCGTCCATAATGTTTCCAATTCATCTGCCAGGACAAAGAGGGAAAATTGGCAGGTTAGGAACACATGTGCTAAGGAGGCAGCGAGCTGGAAAATACTTTACTGTACACCTGTATGTACTAGAACTAATTGTCTGATTATACACAGAGAACCGCACTTGTCTACAAGCTTGGAATCGTGCTGCAATCAGAAAAGGTGCTTCTTTCTTTCTTTTCTTTTCTTTCTTTCTTCTTTCTTTCTTCTTTCTTTCTTCTTTCTTTCTTTCTTTCTTTCTTTCTTCTTTTTCTTCTTTCTTTCTTCTTCTTCCTTTTTCCTTCTCATTCTTATTGTTCTTCTCCTACTACTTCTTTATTCTTCTTCTTCTCCTCCTGCTCTTCCTTCCCCCTCCTCTTCCCCAACCTCCCTCCTCTTCCCCCTCCTCCTCTTCTGTTCCTTCTCCTATTCTTCTCCTTTTCTTCCTTCTCCTGTCTCCCCTTTTCCTTCCACCTCATCTTCTTCTTCTGCCTCCTTCCACTCTTCCCTTCTTCTTCTGGTTAAAAGTAACAGTCAGCATCCAGGAACTTTGAATTTTTTTTTGCGGATTTTCTTCTTTCTTCTTTTCACCTTTATTCTGTGGCTTAAAACATTAGGTCAATGATATCACAAAAAAAATGATTTGTCAAGTTTGCATTTTCCAATTTTAGAGACTATATTGTGCCTCACACATAAAATAGTCTTCTAGTCACACAATAGAAACAGTCTTCAGAAGCAGTTTAGCTAATTTGATAGGAGCAGAAAAAAGTCAACTAAATTCTTCATAGTCACAAAACATGGGCAGCATAAAATCAAAGAAATTCTTCATAGTAACAACATAAACTGAGATGCCGAAATGCTTCAAAGATGTGTTTTAAAGAAAATTAACTATTCGCCGGTTATACAGTTTGATCAATAGAGTCAAGTCAAATATTCCCAAATGTTATCCATTTCAGGAAGTTAAAATTTCATTTTATATGGAGATAAGATTTCTAGAAAGACTTCTAGAAAGCAAAGACTACACTTATCAAAAACCTCACTGTTGTTGTTTAAAAGATAATGGCACCATTAACTCACATGTTTGAATACTTGGGCCTCAACTGATATAATTATATGGGAAGGAGTAGGAGCAATGGCTTAGTTGAAGGAAGTGTGCCACTTGAGGTGAGCTTTAGTGATTCAAAAGACTCATATCATTACCAGTGTGCTCTCTCCCTTCTGCTTGTAAAACAAGATGTGAGATCTTACATGTTCTTGTTGTCATGTCTTACTCTGCCATCACAGACTCTAAACCTCTGGAACCATAGCACAATTAAACTCTTTATTTCATAAAATGTACTGATTTTTTTGTGTTTTATCATAGCAATAAAGAAATCAAATAAAACAGAAATTGATAACAGGTATGATGTATTACTATGAATAACCTGATTAATATTTTTTGCAGGAGTATGGAATGTTTTAAATCGTTGGACTAGAAAAAATGGTAGACCACTGTAAAAAGAGCTTAATATGCTATCCAGGAAAGATGAGAGCAGTCTGAACTATAGAGGCCTGGCTCAAGAAATTTTAGAAACACTATTATCAAATGAAATATAAGCAGATCTTGTGATATTTAGGCAAAGAATTTGGATGCCTAATGCACTTGTCCTAAGAATTTGCCTAAAGCTAAATTGAAAAGTAATGAACTAATGTCCTGAAAGATGTTTAAATCTAATCAATATTGTTTATGTAAGGTAATTATTTTAATCACATTTAGGTGGGTTATAATGTAAAAGAGTGAATGTAGCAAAAAAAATATAAAATGTACACTGAAGAGAAAAGGCACATGGGGAAGTTTACTCTTGGAACCAAGGCTTGTGCTGAAAGAGATAAGGATATCAAGAGGAGGCCTAATCCAAAATGTAATAAAAGTAAAGATTTCTCTTTAGGTCATGACATCAGCCAGCTAAGCTTTCAATTTGTTATCCTAAAAGGCAACAATAAATAAAAGTTGGTGCAAATAAAATTTAAGAGGGCCAGGCTCCATTCTAAGTGGGATCTAAATTGGAAGGATCATCTATGTGGTTCTGATTTTAGAGTCAAGAGGGATACACAAAAAAGTTGTAGAACTTTCCTATGGTTGAAAAGAGCCAATGAGACTGTGTAAGGAAGTCCCTACATAGGGGCCCTGAGAATGGGAAAGAAACCCCGAGAAACCATTGCATAAAGTGGTGAAAATTAAGATTGCATAATATTGGAAACTCCAAAGTATTGCACATGACAGAACTGTGGGATATCTGCACAGTAGAGTAGAAGATAGGAAACGTAACCAGTCCGAGGAATACAAAAATGTTGCGGACTGGATACTGGAGGGTTAGAGATGACTAAGACCTCTGAAATCAGACATAGAGCTACAGAGTTTGGAGTTTGCCCTTCTGGGTTTTGGTCTTGCTTTGGTCCAGTATTTCCACACTATTCTCTGATTTGTCCCTTTTAGAATGATAATGCATATTCGATGACATTAAATGTCAGAAGCATGTAACTTGCATTTTGATTTTACAGAGTGTTGTAAGTAAAAGATTACTTGATGTGTCAGAAGAGACTTTGGGCTTAAAAGCAGTATTGAGACTGTGAAATATTATGGGGCTTTTTTAGGTTGGATATTTTGCTTCATGATATGACCATGAGCCTATATAAAGAGCAGGGAATATAATGCATGATTTGAATGAGAATGTGGCCCCCACAGTTCATGTCTCAATTGTTTCACAGATGGTGAGGCTCCTGGGGAATGATTAGGCTTGGCTTTGTTGTAGGAGCTTTGTCACTGGTAGAAGCCCTTGAAGTTTCTTGGTATTTCCAGTGTGTTCTCAGTCTCCTGCTTATAACTTAAGATATGTCCCCTCAGATCTTCCTTCTGCCATGCCTTTACTTCTACAATCATGAGCCCAATTCAATGTTTGATTGGTTTACTAAATGATCTTTTTAATATTTTGTCACAGAAATAGGAAAGTAAGTAATAGATATACCTTCAGAGTATGGCTTTTGTATAATATATGGTAAAAAATGTAGGTCTGAGTAGTCTTCATTCATGTATTTCCTGGTCTTAGTCATTCCCTGTAGAGACTTCTGGAGTAGATCTTTTCCTGAGTAGAAAGCAAAAAAACAAACAACATTTCCAATGACAGAGGCAAATATAGATGAAATCTCTAGAATTTACTGTTTCTTTTATTTTTATTCCATTTGAAAGCTGTCTTTTATTTATACAACCCTGAAGTCATAAGTATATAGTCCATTTATCTATATTTGTTTCTGAGCATACAATCAGGTCCTTTACCTCTTATGCTCTCCAAAACTTAGTGGATTGAGTCTCAGTAAAATTCATGTTTCTAACTTTCTTTAGAAAACATTTATCTCTCAGTATTTAAAGAAATATGTTATCCATGGAGTAACTAAATAACCTTCTCATAGATTTAATTATCAATAAAAATTATTTAAAACTTGCCCTATGATGAGAAATGTCCTATGTCACAAAAAGTAAAAATAAAAATATGTGACCAAAATTAGTCAAAAGTTCATTCAATTGATTGATTATACAAACACTGGGCTTAGATGTAATAGTCTAAAATATGGAGATTAAATCCAAAAAGAACTTCCCAGAGCAGGAATACTCATTATGACAACAAAGCTATAACTCTTTATAGCTAAACACATTGATCTGAAGCTTGGATAAGATTTTATGATGTCTGACTGCAACCAAATGTCATCAAGATTGAGTACAACTGCTAACAACACTGATGCATCTTCAGTCCCTTTCCTAAAAAAAATGTAGGTCCTTGCTCACATAGTCATCACACCTAGCAGATGTCCAAGAGGCTATAAATAGGAATGGACTCCTTGACTGAAAGAAGTTTCCCACTTCTTCTGCATTAAGGTCAGGGTATTAACTGCTCTTACATTTTGGGGTATATCATCACCCAAGAGGAAAAACAAACAGCAACATATAAGAACAAGAAAGTACACTCTCTCTTGTACTCTAATAAAACATTCAGGAAGTATGAGTATGGGGAGTCATGAATAGATTTGAAAGCAATATGTTTGCTAAATATTCTATCAGACATCCAAAAATTCACAAACATTCCCTTTAGATATAAAAAATATATATTAACAATATTTAGGAATATGGGTATGGTTCTCTTCAAACTGCTTCCTGGTTTTGTTGGGGAAAGTATTTTCTTTTGGGGGATTTTCATAGAGAACTTTCAGGTGGTCTTGTTCTATCAAACCATATTAGTCTGGAATGATTCCACAGGTTCTCATCCTCCATGGAAACAAAAGAAAAACCTCTTTTCTAAAGCAACCTAGCCTTAGACTCAAATTTTAAAGGCAAAATAACTTTAAAGTATATATGTTGGATACTTAGCTCCTTTACAGTGAAAAAATACAAAGAAACAAAATAATATTATAATCCAGATTCTCTGTGTCTTTTTCATCTTTTCAAGGCTTTGTAACAGGAGGAGCAGGCTGCTTGTTGTCCCAGGACCCAGCTATCTTACACCCAAAATAATCACACAGAAACTGTATTCATTTAAACACAGCCTGGCCTATTAGCTCTAACTTCTTATAGGCTAATTCATACTTCTTAATTTAATCCATTTTTATTAATCTGTATATCACCACGTGACTGTGGCTTACCTGCAAGATTCTAACCAGCATCCATCTCAGGACAAAGATCCATGGAGTCTGCCATTTTGCCCTTCTTCCCAGCTTTCAATTTTGTCTACTCTGCCTACCTAAGTTCTGTCATATCAACTAGGCCAAAGCAGTTTCTTTATTCACTATCCAATGAAAGCAACACACAAACAGAAGGAATTTCTACACCAAGGCTCTTTTTTGTTTTTACTCTATTATTTTTTAATATTTATTTTATTATCTTTACTCCTTCAATCAATGACTGTCAGTACTCTGTTTCTTTAAAAACTTTGTATTTATTCAACACTGTGATTCATTTAGAGTTCTTTTATGTCTGAATCTGTCCTATTGTATATCTATAATTCTGTGTACTCCATTATTTTAGCATAATCAAATAGATTTGAGATTTCAATTCTCATATACTTTAAAAATGTTTCAACAACAATCATAATCTTCCATATTGCTTTAGGTTTAAATGCATTATCTATCCAAAGTAAGAGTGAATCAACAGTTTATCCACTTAGGAAAACTGGAGGGAGTGGTATTATGGAAGAGGAACAAAGACAGTAGCTCTCGCACAAGTAGAACTTAACTGGAGGCCCTTAGATTAAGTATTTCCATCTGTACTCACAGGAGCACAGAATTCAAATAATGTCAGAGTATACAAGAAGTTGGTTTGTTGAATTTTGTAAGTATGTATTTGAGAAAGAAAGTGCAGATATTGTAAAAGGAAAGAACCATCATTCGAGCAATAAGGCAATTTCTGCTTGTTTAGAATATTACCAAAAGAAAGGCAGTTTGCATACTTACCATCAATCATTCTTTGACAGCTGAACTTCATAATGCTTCCTGTTGAACAGAGTTTTGAAATCATTAGGGGCCTGAATAATAGCACACTACGGTAAGTGTATGGATCTGTATCAAATATAATGTATTTGATGCTGAAAATTCTTACTGACATATATACGGATAGAGACCCTAGCCAGCTAAGTTTATAAAAGTACATATCATTCTAGAAGATACATAACTATGTATTTATAAAACTAAGAAGACACATTTTTATCGAACATTGAAGTTAAGATAAGGTATGGCATAAGCAATGATATGACTGCCTCTAAATAGATAAAGAAATAAATCTTCTATAACTTCTGTTTCCCACAAAGCTTGCTACTTTTGAGCTTTAGGGTAAGACATACAAGAAGTAGCATGCTCCCTTTTATCAACATCACTTTCATCTACAAAGCACAGGGAAGATCAGAAAACTGAGAAGATAAACTTCCCTAGCAGGAAGTTATTGCAAGAAATTTACTGATGGAGGTAGGTCATTGGTTAATAAAGAAACTGCCTTGGCCCATTTGATAGGCCACCCTTTAGGTGGGTGTAGTAGACAGAACAGAATGCTGGGAGGAAGTGAGGCAATCACCATGCCTCTCCTCTCTGGGCCAGATGCCAATGGATCTTGCCACCAGGTCAGACATGCTGAATCTTTCCCGGTAAGACACCACCTCATAGTGCTACACAGATTATTAGAAATGGGTTAAGCAAGGTATGAGAGTTAGCCAAGAAGAGGCTAGATATAATGGGCTAGGCAGTGTTTAAAAGAATACAGTCTCTGTGTAATTATTTTGGGGCATAAGCTAGCCAGGGGGCCAGGAGCTGGGCAGCAGGAACACAGCCTGCAGCTCCTTCTACAAATGGTGCCCAGATGTAGATAACTGAATCCACAGTAAGTCTGAGAAAGCTTGGGAAAGAATAGAGTAAAGCATGTTTTCTTGTTAGCAACAATTTCTTGGGTCTGTTCTGCTTGCTAGAGGCAAGAAAGTACTCTCATCTAAGAGAGGCTTTCTGACTCAGCTTTAGCTGCAAAATCTTGCAGCTCTTTTAAGAGGTCCTGCTATTAAACACTTAAATGGTGTTGATAAAAGCTGACTGAATGTTTGGTCGTTTTCAGCCATAGCAGGAAAAAGGTTGTGCTATTTTAAAATGCTAGCTTTCTGGACTGTCCTGCCAGGGCAAACTCTGACTCTTTCAGGTGAGCAGTCTGATTAAGTGTGGTCTGTGAGCAGAATGCTGCAGCTTGCTTGCTGGCAGGGACCTTGAAACACTGTAGAGTTGTGGCAATGAATGCTGCTCTGGCTGGTACCTCAGCCACAAGCAAATCACAAAAAGCTAAGGAATGGGCTGGATCTAGCCGAAAAAGCCACAGCTTTAATCCTACCCATATTGCTCAGTAATTTAAGGGCTTATGTGGTCAGAAAAAGTGAGAGAGAGAGAGAGAGAGAGAGAGAGAGAGAGAGAGAGAGAGAGAGATACAGTAAAGAGAGATTCAAAAAACAAAGAAACCTTTAAATAATTTACAATGTGTTAAAAATATATGCAAGCTAAAAGTTAAAGTTCTTAAAGTAAAAAACAAAGAGAAAAAAAGGAAGTAGTTGGGTGTGGTAGTACACACCTTTAATCCCAACACTTGGGAGGCAGAGGTAAATTGACTTCTGAGACATCAAGGGGCAGAGGTAGATTGACCTCTGTGACTTCAAGGTGTGGTAGCACATGCCTTTAATCCCAATGCCTGGGAGGCAGAGACAGAGGGATCTCTGAGACTTCAAGGACAGTCTGGTCACAGAGTTATTCCAGGACAAAGATATACAGAGATCCTGTCTCAAAAAATAAAAGTAAAAGAAATAGAGGTTAAAATAAAGCCGCATAAAGATGTAATATCAGGTAATACTCTTGAGATTTTCCTTCTCATCTCATGCTGAATAAACAAACTTTCATAAAAATCCCAGTGCTTTGTCCTTCTGATCTTTGGCAACAGCCTAATCCTATTGAGAGATGAGACATTGGATCTCCTACCTACAAAATAACAGGGTTCCGTGTTAACTCATGTCCTACAATGTTCAACAATAGTTAGTATGTTTGTCTATAGCCCCTGAACAGAGCAAATATTTTCCAACAAGTTCTATCAGGCATATTAAATGGAACCATCCTCGGAATGGTTAAGATTCCATTCACAATAATACACAGCAAAATCTATATTTTCGAACCCAAATCAGGTTACCTTAAAATTTAAGGCTCACACAATTCATTAATTGTTGAAGAAGCTTCCAAAAGCCATTATGGAGGAATAAATTAACAATTTTCAAATTGATTCCAACATTCATATTCCATGAGCTTGCAAAGCTACCAGTGTATAGAGGACAAAAAGGGGTATGCTACATAACATTTTACAAAAAAAATGCTCAAAGCATTTCAGGCAGAATTCACAAAACATAAAGTAAATTTGGGCTCTATTACAGTAATTGGATGTGGGCACAATAGACAAAGAAAAACACTGTCTCTCTTATCATGACTCTCTAACCTAGAATTAAGAGTGGGATTTTCTAGCCATCTTTCTGATGTCTCAGAAATGTTCAGGCAAGCCAAACTCCCCTTCTTCACAGCAATGAGGAGGAATATTTCCATCAGTCTGTACACATAGTTTCCATATAAGGGTCTTAAGAAAGAAGTGTCCCAAAATTGCAAAAGAGAATAAAGTGGCAATCTTATAGTATTCACTGTATCACTAGCAATTTTCCTAAATACTTGGCAATGATAATATTAACAATAGGAAACAGAAACAATGAAAGAAACTAGAGTATATCATTGTGTTCTTTCTCAGAAAAAATAAAGCTGCTTCAGCATTTCTGAGGATGACAATAGGAAACACATGTTAAGTGTGGTATCAGTTCAGACACGAGTGAGCTTTAAAAAGTTCAGAAGAAGATGGTTTAAATTGAATGCTGACAAATAAGGCATTTTAAGGAATTAATCATTTTGTTCAGGTGCCAAGGAGATTTATCATGGTCAGTCCACATTGTCAGTAATCACATTTATAAAAGTGACCTTGAACATGAAATATCTGGCAGACTGTGAGTACTGTTACTTAGTTGACAACAAATCCCATGGTTACTTCCCACAGGCAATGCTGTGGTTTTCTGAAAAAAAAATACTAACATCATAAAAGTGTTATACATTGTTGCGACTGAAACTTGAAGAAGTTTCTGCTCTCATTATATTAACTATCATACCTATGTGCTTCCCAGTGATGGATGCATGTTGAGCTCACTGTATTCACTGACAAGGACGTGCCCACAAGACATTCTCAAGCTCAAGGCTCAGGATTTAAGTCAGCTACAGGCAGGTACAAAAGAGTCTGGAGGCAAGAATGGGCACAACTCGCAGCACCACCAAGACCCGAAAATCGTCAGCTCGTGCTGGCAATTTATGTCATGCTTACCTTGGTTCTCTGGACTTCTGCTGCAAGTCACCAACACCAGTCGACAACACTGCAGGTGGCTCAGTCTGCTGCCATCAGCCATAGGCATGGCCTGGGGTGCTGAGCCATTCTCTCTACCCTGTGGCCATGCGTGCCACAGATGCAACACTGTGAAGACATAAAAGCACAGGCCCTCATTACAGTGGGAGCCATGACACTGGCTCTGGGAGGGCTTGGCCTGGTGGTTCTCAGTGGGATGATCAGGCAACAAGTTTTCTGCCAGCTCCCCTGCTCTGCCCAAACCCTGCAGCATGGTTTAAAAGATGGCCAACAACAAACTCTTCAAGTCTCAGGGCTTGGCCTTATCTTGCCACCCTCCGTGGACTTGAGGTGATATTTGGCCTCTTCTGCAGCCAAAAAAGTAATATCAGTCCGCCCAACAAATCCAGCTACTGCAACAGCAGCAAGCACATTCTTACTCTAAATAAATAAATAAATGAATAAATAAGTAAATAAATAAATAAATATCCTCAGAGGCTGCTCTCAATAAAGTCAGCCCGGAGACCAGCAAACTGGATTCACTAAAAAGGACACGCCCACCTGGCAGTCTCAAGCTCAAGGCTCAGGACTCAGCTCTCTTTGCACATTTTCCCTGAGCAAAGCATGCCTCCTATCCCTGAGCAGGTCTGACCAACTGACAGCCAGGGCTACTGGCACCTGCAAACCTCTCCCTTGCTAATGCAAAGGGTCANAGCAAAGCATGCCTCCTATCCCTGAGCAGGTCTGACCAACTGACAGCCAGGGCTACTGGCACCTGCAAACCTCTCCCTTGCTAATGCAAAGGGTCAAAATGCACTAAGCCCTCCACAAGGACTTCACTCTAGGAGATGCTATGGAACTGTTGGAGGAGGGCAGGAGCAGGGGAGTGGTTGGCAAGCCCGTATCCTACTCCCAGAGGACCTGGGTGACTCAAGGTGCAGGACCTCAGTCTCGATGAGAGCGGTGGTACTGAGTTTTCACTCATTTTGTTCAGCTTTTCCAAGGAATGATTGACTGCAATCATCATCGATCCAAGCAGGCTGGAGTGGTCTGGCCCAGAGACTTAGAGAGGTAGGTGTCCTCTCAAGCCAGGGTTGGGGTTGGTGAGTGCGAGAACTGCCCAGCAGTGCCCCATAAGGCAAAGGGAGATTGCAATGGGTCCATGCATGGAGGGCAGGAACACCTTCAGGACCAAAGTCTGCTACAGGCAGGTGAAGACAGTTCTGGAGGCATGAATGGACAGACCCCGTGGTAACCCCAAGACCCGACAATTGTCCGCTTGTGCTGGCAATTTTGGTCATGCTTACCTTGGTTCTGTGGCGTTCTGCTGCAAGTCACCAACACCAGTGAAAAACAGTGCTGGCGGCTCAGTCTAATGCCATCTGCCGTAGGCATGGCCTGGAGTGCTGGGCCATTCTCTCTACCCTGTGGCCATGCATGCCACAGAAGTAACACTGTGAAGACATAAAAGCACAGGCCCTCCTTACAGTGGGAGCCATGACACTGGCTCTGGGAGGGCATGGCCTGGTGGTTCTCAGTAGGATGGTCGGGCAACAAGTGTTCTGCCAGCTCCCCTGCTCTGCCCAAACCCTCCAGCATGGTTTAACAGATGGCCAACAGCAAACTCTTCAAGTCTCAGGGCTTGGCCTTATCGTGGCTCCCTCCATTGAGTTGAAGGTGATATTTGGCCCCCTCTGCAGCCATTCTAGTAATATCTGTCTACCCAACACAACCAGCTACTGCAACACCAGCAAGCACTTTCTTACTCAAAATAAATAAATAAATAAATAAATAAATAAATAAATAAATAATTAAATAAATAAATATCCTCAGATGCTGCTCTCAATAAAGTCAGCCTGGACACCAGCTAACTGGATTCACTAACAAGGACACGCCCACCTCACTGTCTCAAGCTCAAGGCCCAGGACTCAGCTCTTTGGACATGTTCCTGTAGCAAAGCATGCCTCCTATCCCTGAGCAGGTCTGACCAACTGACAGCCAGGGCTACTGGCACCTGCAAACCTCTCCCTTGCTAATGCAAAGGGTCAAAATGCACTAAGCCCACCCTACAGGACTTCACTCTAGGAGATGCTATGGAACTGGTGGAGGAGGGCAGGAGCAGGGGAGTGGTGGGCAAGCCCATATCCTACTCCCAGAGGACCGGGGTGACTCAAGGTGCAGGACCTCAGTCTCGATGAGAGCGGTGGTACTGAGTTTTCACTCATTTTGTTCAGATTTCCAAGGTATGATTTTCTGGGAATCATCATCGATCCAGTCATGCTGGAGTGGTTTGGCCCAGAGAGTTTGAGAGGTAGGTCTCCTCTCAAGCCAGGGTTGGGTTGGGGAGTGCGAGAACTGCCCAGCCGTGCCCCTTCTTGCAAAGGGAGGTGGCAATGGGTCCATGCATGGAAGGCGGGAACACCTTCAGGACCAAAGTCTGCTACAGGCAGGTGCAGACAGTTCTGGAGGCACGAATGGACAGACCTCGCAGTACCACCAAGACCCGACAATCGTCAGCTTGTGCTGGCAATTTATGTCATGCTTACCTTGGTTCTCTGGCCTTCTGCTGCAAGTCACCAACACCAGTGGAAAACAGTGCTGGCGGCTCAGTCTGCTGCCATCAGCCGTAGGCATGGCCTGGGGTGCTGGGCCATTCTCTCTGCCCTGTGGCCATGCATGCCACAGATGCAACACTGTGAAGACATAAAAGCACAGGCCCTCCTTAAAGTGGGAGCCATGACACTGGCCCTGGGAGGGCTTGGCCTGGTGGTTCTCAGTGGGATGATCGGGCAACAAGTGTTCTGCCAGCTCCCCTGCTCAACCCAAACCCTGCAGCATGGTTTAACAGATGGCCAACAGCAAACTCTTCAAGTCTCAGGGCTTGGCCTTATCTTGCCTCCCTCCATTGAGTTGAAGGAGATATTTGGCCCCCTCTGCAGCCATTCAAGTAATATCTATCTGCCCAACACAACCAGCTACTGCAACACCAGTAAGCACTTTCTTATTCAAAATAAATAAATAAATAAATAAATAAATAAATAAATAAATAAATATTCTCAGAGGCTGCTCTCAATAAAGTCAGCCCGGAAACCACCTCCCTGGATTCACTAAAACGGACACGCGCACCTGATAGTCTCAAGCTCAAGGCTCAGGACTCAGCTCTCTTTGCACAGGTTCCCTGAGCAAAGCATGCCTCCTATCCCTGAGCAGGTCTGACCAACTGACAGCCAGGGCTACTGGCACCTGCAAACCTCTCCCTTGCTAATGCAAAGGGTCAAAATGCACTAAGCCCACCCCACAGGACTTCACTCTAGGAGATGCTATGGAACTGTTGGAGGAGGGCAGGAGCAGGGGAGTGGTTGGCAAGCCCGTATCCTACTCCCAGAGGACCTGGGTGACTCAAGGTGCAGGACCTCAGTCTCGATGAGAGCGGTGGTACTGAGTTTTCACTCATTTTGTTCAGCTTTTCCAAGGAATGATTGACTGGGAATCATCATCGATCCAAGCACGCTGGAGTGGTCTGGCCCAGAGACTTTGAGAGGTAGGTCTCCTCTCAAGCCAGGGTTGGGTTGGGGAGTGCGAGAACTGCCCAGCCGTGCCCCTTCTTGCAAAGGGAGGTGGCAATGGGTCCATGCATGGAAGGCGGGAACACCTTCAGGACCAAAGTCTGCTACAGGCAGGTGCAGACAGTTCTGGAGGCACGAATGGACAGACCTCGCAGTACCACCAAGACCCGACAATCGTCAGCTTGTGCTGGCAATTTATGTCATGCTTACCTTGGTTCTCTGGCCTTCTGCTGCAAGTCACCAACACCAGTGGAAAACAGTGCTGGCGGCTCAGTCTGCTGCCATCAGCCGTAGGCATGGCCTGGGGTGCTGGGCCATTCTCTCTGCCCTGTGGCCATGCATGCCACAGATGCAACACTGTGAAGACATAAAAGCACAGGCCCTCCTTAAAGTGGGAGCCATGACACTGGCCCTGGGAGGGCTTGGCCTGGTGGTTCTCAGTGGGATGATCGGGCAACAAGTGTTCTGCCAGCTCCCCTGCTCAACCCAAACCCTGCAGCATGGTTTAACAGATGGCCAACAGCAAACTCTTCAAGTCTCAGGGCTTGGCCTTATCTTGCCTCCCTCCATTGAGTTGAAGGAGATATTTGGCCCCCTCTGCAGCCATTCAAGTAATATCTATCTGCCCAACACAACCAGCTACTGCAACACCAGTAAGCTCTTTCTTATTCAAAATAAATAAATAACAAAATAAATAAATAAATAAATAAATAAATATTCTCAGAGGCTGCTCTCAATAAAGTCAGCCCGGAAACCACCTCCCTGGATTCACTAAAACGGACACGCGCACCTGATAGTCTCAAGCTCAAGGCTCAGGACTCAGCTCTCTTTGCACAGGTTCCCTGAGCAAAGCATGCCTCCTATCCCTGAGCAGGTCTGACCAACTGACAGCCAGGGCTACTGGCACCTGCAAACCTCTCCCTTGCTAATGCAAAGGGTCAAAATGCACTAAGCCCACCCCACAGGACTTCACTCTAGGAGATGCTATGGAACTGTTGGAGGAGGGCAGGAGCAGGGGAGTGGTTGGCAAGCCCGTATCCTACTCCCAGAGGACCTGGGTGACTCAAGGTGCAGGACCTCAGTCTCGATGAGAGCGGTGGTACTGAGTTTTCACTCATTTTGTTCAGCTTTTCCAAGGAATGATTGACTGGGAATCATCATCGATCCAAGCACGCTGGAGTGGTCTGGCCCAGAGACTTTGAGAGGTAGGTCTCCTCTCAAGCCAGGGTTGGGTTGGGGAGTGCGAGAACTGCCCAGCCGTGCCCCTTCTTGCAAAGGGAGGTGGCAATGGGTCCATGCATGGAAGGCGGGAACACCTTCAGGACCAAAGTCTGCTACAGGCAGGTGCAGACAGTTCTGGAGGCACGAATGGACAGACCTCGCAGTACCACCAAGACCCGACAATCGTCAGCTTGTGCTGGCAATTTATGTCATGCTTACCTTGGTTCTCTGGCCTTCTGCTGCAAGTCACCAACACCAGTGGAAAACAGTGCTGGCGGCTCAGTCTGCTGCCATCAGCCGTAGGCATGGCCTGGGGTGCTGGGCCATTCTCTCTGCCCTGTGGCCATGCATGCCACAGATGCAACACTGTGAAGACATAAAAGCACAGGCCCTCCTTAAAGTGGGAGCCATGACACTGGCCCTGGGAGGGCTTGGCCTGGTGGTTCTCAGTGGGATGATCGGGCAACAAGTGTTCTGCCAGCTCCCCTGCTCAACCCAAACCCTGCAGCATGGTTTAACAGATGGCCAACAGCAAACTCTTCAAGTCTCAGGGCTTGGCCTTATCTTGCCTCCCTCCATTGAGTTGAAGGAGATATTTGGCCCCCTCTGCAGCCATTCAAGTAATATCTATCTGCCCAACACAACCAGCTACTGCAACACCAGTAAGCACTTTCTTAGTAAAAATAAATAAATAAATAAATAAATAAATAAATAAATATTCTCAGAGGCTGCTCTCAATAAAGTCAGCCCGGAAACCACCTCCCTGGATTCACTAAAACGGACACGCGCACCTGATAGTCTCAAGCTCAAGGCTCAGGACTCAGCTCTCTTTGCACAGGTTCCCTGAGCAAAGCATGCCTCCTATCCCTGAGCAGGTCTGACCAACTGACAGCCAGGGCTACTGGCACCTGCAAACCTCTCCCTTGCTAATGCAAAGGGTCAAAATGCACTAAGCCCACCCCACAGGACTTCACTCTAGGAGATGCTATGGAACTGTTGGAGGAGGGCAGGAGCAGGGGAGTGGTTGGCAAGCCCGTATCCTACTCCCAGAGGACCTGGGTGACTCAAGGTGCAGGACCTCAGTCTCGATGAGAGCGGTGGTACTGAGTTTTCACTCATTTTGTTCAGCTTTTCCAAGGAATGATTGACTGGGAATCATCATCGATCCAAGCACGCTGGAGTGGTCTGGCCCAGAGACTTTGAGAGGTAGGTCTCCTCTCAAGCCAGGGTTGGGTTGGGGAGTGCGAGAACTGCCCAGCCGTGCCCCTTCTTGCAAAGGGAGGTGGCAATGGGTCCATGCATGGAAGGCGGGAACACCTTCAGGACCAAAGTCTGCTACAGGCAGGTGCAGACAGTTCTGGAGGCACGAATGGACAGACCTCGCAGTACCACCAAGACCCGACAATCGTCAGCTTGTGCTGGCAATTTATGTCATGCTTACCTTGGTTCTCTGGCCTTCTGCTGCAAGTCACCAACACCAGTGGAAAACAGTGCTGGCGGCTCAGTCTGCTGCCATCAGCCGTAGGCATGGCCTGGGGTGCTGGGCCATTCTCTCTGCCCTGTGGCCATGCATGCCACAGATGCAACACTGTGAAGACATAAAAGCACAGGCCCTCCTTAAAGTGGGAGCCATGACACTGGCCCTGGGAGGGCTTGGCCTGGTGGTTCTCAGTGGGATGATCGGGCAACAAGTGTTCTGCCAGCTCCCCTGCTCAACCCAAACCCTGCAGCATGGTTTAACAGATGGCCAACAGCAAACTCTTCAAGTCTCAGGGCTTGGCCTTATCTTGCCTCCCTCCATTGAGTTGAAGGAGATATTTGGCCCCCTCTGCAGCCATTCAAGTAATATCTGTCCGCCCAACACAACCAGCTACTGCAACACCAGCAAGCACTTTCTTACTCAAAATAAATAAATAAATAAATAAATATATAAGGAATTAAATAAATAAATATCCTCAGAGGATGCTCTCAATAAAGTCAGCCCGGAAACCAGCTCACTGGATTCACTAAAAAGGACACGCGCACCTGAAAGTCTCAAGCTCAAGGCTCAGGACTCAGCTCTCTTTGCACATGTTCCCTGAGCAAAGCATGCCTCCTATCCCTGAGCAGGTCTGACCAACTGACAGCCAGGGCTACTGGCACCTGCAAACCTCTCCCTTGCTAATGCAAAGGGTCAAAATGCACTAAGCCCACCCAACAGGACTTCACTCTAGGAGATGCTATGGAACTGGTGGAGGAGGGCAGGAGCAGGGGAGTGGTGGGCAAGCCCATATCCTACTCCCAGAGGACCGGGGTGACTCAAGGTGCAGGACCTCAGTCTCGATGAGAGCGGTGGTACTGAGTTTTCACTCATTTTGTTCAGATTTCCAAGGTATGATTTTCTGGGAATCATCATCGATCCAGTCATGCTGGAGTGGTTTGGCCCAGAGAGTTTGAGAGGTAGGTCTCCTCTCAAGCCAGGGTTGGGGGTGGGGAGTGCGAGAACTGCACAGCCGTGCCTCTTCTTGCAAAGGGAGGTTGCAATGTGTCCATGCATGGAAGGCGGGAACACCTTCAGGACCAAAGTCTGCTACAGGCAGGTGCAGACAGTTCTGGAGGCATGAATGGACAGACCTCGCAGTACCACCAAGACCCGACAATAGTCAGCTTGTGCTGGCAATTTATGTCATGCTTACCTTAGTAATCTGACTTTCTGCTGCAAGTCACCAACACCAGTGGAAAACAGTGCTGGCGGCTCAGTCTGCTATCATCTGCCGTAGGCATGGCCTGGAGTGCTGGGCCATTCTCTCTACCCTGTGGACATGCATGCCACAGAAGCTACACTGTAAAGACATAAAAGAACAGGCCCTCGTTACAGTGGGAGCCATGACACTGGCTCTGGGAGGGCTTGGCCTGGTGGTTCTCAGTGGGATGACCGGGCGACAAGTGTTCTGCCAGCTCCCCTGCTCTGCCCAAACCCTCCAGCACGGTTTAACAGATGGCCAACAGCAAACTCTTCAAGTCTCAGGGCTTGGACTTATCTTGGATCCCTCCATTGAGTTGAAGGGGATATTTGGCCCCCTCTGCAGCCATTCAAGTAATATCTGTCCGCCCAACACAACCAGCTACTGCAACACCAGCAAGCACTTTCTTA